AGGATTTTTCTTTTCTTTTCTTTTATGATATTTATATTATTATTTAATAAAGGACATTGCACGGCAAGTAAGACGAGATACTCTTCGAGCGAAATATGGGAAAACCAAAGTACAAAATGCTATACATTGTTCTGATTTACCAGAAGATGGATCTTTAGAGGTGAAATAAATCTACTCTACTTTTATATAAGTGCAATATATCACATATGTTGTATGTAATTTACATATGTATACTTATTCGTTTTATTTAGGTGGAATATTTTTTTAAAATCCTTGACAGCAGTTAATACTGAGAGCCAACATTGCACAAAATATTGACTATCACTTACTATTATTTGTATTGTTGCCGATATTTTATATGTATTAAAGAAATGCTATACGTTGCCTTTCACGAATACTATCCTGTTGTGCCGCATAAATTTTATTGAAAAACAAATCGATACAAGTCAGTTGCTATTATGTTTATGTTTAATTAAGTCGCATATATGTAAAATTCTAATCTACTTTTTTATAATAAAAGATACTTCAGTAACCGTCTCCTTTTAATTATCCATTAAGTGTAAAGGAGCTTTTTATCTACACATTTCATACACTACTAAAAAGACCATTGGATGAAAGCTTGAAACTGAAAAGCACAGCAATGCAATTATTGATTAATCTGTTGTGATTATCATAAATTATATTAAACTTTCAGTGAACTTATATACTTCAATTATGAAATATTTTTTTAATTAGTTACATTCACAACGTACATTCTTCAAATAACTATTCTCTGACAAGTATATAATCAATCAGAGGCCATGGTGGGATAAGAGCATCTGGAATGTCTCTAGAAGCCAATTTCGTAACGTTTCACTTTTACGAGCAAACGTCGGCTACGGATAGCACTTTAATTTTCTCGGAGTTTTATGAAATCGGCTACGCAGTTTTATTTGTAACATCGTTATATTTAAATGAGCCGATAAGGTGCTCTTCGTTCATTATTCTTAGGGTGAATGATCATCGATATCGGTATTTATCTCATGTAAGAAAAATAAATAATGCTATCGACTATCTAGAAGGAAAGCTAAATTAACAAGAATGACTCTTCAAATCTGCACAAAAGATATGACTAACGCTAGAAAGTATAAACTACATCTTTTGTCAATTTTTGTCTTTTGATGATTCATCTGTGCAGTTCGAACGAGTAAATCATTCAATGAAAAGGAAAAAAGGTGTAGAAGAAAACTGTACAGTTTTAATTGGAAACCAGTTAGAAAGAAAGAGAAAAAACAGTTGCAAACCAATCTTATAGGTTATCTTTCTAAAACAGAAAACCATTTACGGTGAATCTATCCATTTCGAATCTGCTACTCGTGCTTATTCTGCCTTAATAGCAACATAATGATGTGTGTCAAGGATTTGCGGCGCCCGTCGTCATGAAAAGTTGGAGAATTGTGCTATCTCTGCTTCAAGCGATTGGGACAAAGCGGATAGATATCCTTACAACTTGGTAATTTCTTCACGCGGCGAAGATAGGCGATCTATTCCAATCTGGCTTGTTGCTTGAAATGAAAAAAAGACGACTCGAAAAGTTTTGACTTTTTTTTGACATAAAATTCTTTTCCTTTATTTTAGTACTACACTATAAATACTTAAATCGAATCTATTTCAAACCTGAACTCCTTGAATTCGTCTCCGACCACGAATCGCTTCTAATATTTCACTTTTTACTTTTACATCGAACAGACTGGAGTTATATGTATACAATATCTCCAGTACGAATGTACTTACATAATTAATATTTAAATTTACAGTCAAATAATATTTTATTTTACTTGCTGAAAAATTTTTCAGTACATTATGAAAACAAAAAAGTAAAATTACATATTATTACAAAGTTAATTGAACTTCTGATTTTGGAGAGATGTTGGAAGAAATTTTTGATAAATTCGTTTCCGATGTAAATAGAAGATCACCGAGCTTTTCGAAAGAACTCTTGTTGAAATATTGGAGAACTTGCTTTTTGGGAGATCAAAGGAACTCTGAAATTTAGCCTGTGTTCTCCATTTTTCTTAAGGGGAGATTTCATCCCCTAAAACTGCTATAGCACTGACAAAAACTAGGTTTGCGTTACAAATTGCACAAAAAGTTTTATAATTTTTCAAAATTCCCTAACTTCTCTTGTTCGAATTGGATTCTTACATTTTCCAATAAAATCGTGCAACATACGAGGTTGTCGATTTGTACTCCAAGCATTCTTTTGATAAGATTAAAGCCACTATAATGGCTTTCGCGTATAAATAAATTATAATTTATTCATCTATAACCTCTGTTCCGATGTAATTTTATAGCGGAAAGCATCACCAGACACACACAAATCACAGTACTGCATTATTTACGCACATTTCGCGTTAAAACGTGCCGCATCGAGAAACAGCACCGCGGAAAGTCCAGCCGTAGTAGCTAAGAGGCTAATCAACAGCTTCAGTATACTTTTGCAGTGAAACTTAAAAAAGAGAAAGAAATTTATTTATTTCTATTTCTTATATTAATTTGCATTATTTCAATAACATAAAAAACCCCAAATTTTACATTTTAATATATAAATTATTTCCCTTTTGGTATATTTAGATAAGACTGTGCTTATAAAGAACTTATAAATTAGAATCATTAATGGAAGAAGAAATTGGCACATATAATTATTTCTTTGTTTCAACAAAAGTCACTCGAATAAAAGCATCTAATTTTTTTTATCAGAATACTCAAGAATTATTTTCATAAGATTTATTTTATAATTATTCGCTAAATTCATTAATACTTGATTTAATTCTTACATCTCATATATTACTAATTTTGTGAATTCGTTACTAATTCCTCTAATTCGAAGTAACCAATCTGAAATCTGTCATTCCAATCTGTTACTTCTCCAAAGTAATCACGCATGTCGCCGTAACACCGCCATTACACTACAAAGGGTTAAAACACCATAATACTGTTTCTAATAAAAACTTCAACCAAAAAATACACAATGTCAAAACGATCACAATACCACCGTCCATTCGTCTATCTCTCAATTAGAAACCAGGGAATTACCGATTTCAAAACATCGTAAACACTCGCTACCACAGTGTTCGTCCTCTCTGAAGCTCCACCGTTCCCGAGGTATTCTCGATCGTGAACTCGTTAAAAACGATCACATGAAGCTGAGAAGTTGAGACAGGCATAAACTAACTGTCGCATCGGTAACAAGTGTAGACGACGTTAATCGTCGCGACAGGGACGGTTTCCCGGTTGATGAATCGCTGGCTGCAAAACGCCGCGATGGAATCGCGTCCCGCAGGAATTCCACGGAAAACGCTTGAACCGGTTCCTTATCGGGTACGTCGCCGGCTATCAATGGTCGCCGCAAATCGGCACGGTGCATTGCGGTCACGCTCTTAGATCCGATTGGTGGATTAGAATACGTGTATTTTCGAGCCGGTGCGTTGCCACCGGGGATCGGGCCAGGCAGTAGTGCGCTCGACGGCGCGCAGAACGGACCCATTGGTAAATCGTCACTTCTCCAAGGGTCTGATAGCCGCGATTTCGTATCTCGTTCGTTCGTTCGATCTCGAACATGCGCGATTTTTCGACGTTTATTCGAAAATTCTCTTTCTGTGTGTGTGTGTGTGTTTTTTTTCAATTAACCGATCAGCAGTTTGGTTAATTACGAGCGTGAAAATTCACGGTTGAATAACTAGTCTCTGCTGGAAATCGGTTTGAGATTGAGATCGAAGTTTTCGGAGGAGAATTGGATTTCTTCGAAGAATTCTAGAACCGATTTTTTCTTTTCTTCCATTGGAGAAATTAGGGTAGAACCTGAGGATCGATTGAGAATTTTGCGAAGGAGGAATTTGCTCGATGCCTCCGCTTCCTGGTATTAAATAGTGGATAAACGTAAGTTGTTCATTTTGCTGACCGGTAATCGTTGGTGTCGTTCGGTGAATGAAGCGGCGAGTTACTCCGTGTGTGCGTGAGCTCGAGTAGTATGAATAGGTATGCCCCGTTTATTGGCTGGAGATGTTGGTACTTCCTCTTTGACGTTTTCTGTCCACGCGTACATGCTGTCGTGTTATAGTGCGATGTTCGGGTTTGATAATCGTGATGGAGTTCGTTCTGTGAAAATTGAATAGGATTCGCAGAACGGCCGTTTCTCGAGATTCGAGACAGTTTTGGTAGTTTCCAATGATAACGCGGAAATGTAGAATCGAAATTGAAGGAAAATACTGGCTACCGTTTTGGAAAGATCGAGTAAGTTCTTTTTAGACCATTGCAATAGATCGTCAATCTAAACCAAAATTTTTATCTATGGGAATAAGAATTTTTTGGATTTTTGCAAAAGTCTTGTAAATGTTTCTTACTTGAAAATTTGAAATTTCACGAAATTTCATATTTGATTATTTGAAATTTGATGCTAGATGAATTCCGCAGTGTTACATTCAATTAGGAAGTTAAGTTTTGCTTTTTGCATTCTTGGGATAATTAAATTCGTAAAATGTCAACGATCGAATTACAAACCTGCAAAAGTACCGTTATAAGCCAGAATCTACTGTTCAAGTATAGTCGGCGGAAGAAATATAGCCAGGTCGTAAATTAAAGCATTAAATAGCGGCATCGATTGACGCAGTAAACCAGAATCGAAGGTGGAATTTTTCGTTTTTCGATTAGGATTGAATTCAAATATAAGCCATACTTCGAGAAGTTCTAATTGAAGTTTCAGATCTTTATCTTTTCAAGTTTCTATCGAGTCTTCCGTCGATATGTCTGAACGTGTAAACGTTGACGCTTGACCGATTTCACGACCTCGTTATATTTCTTCCGCCGACTATACATATCAGAAACTCCGTGGTAACAAATTGGTGGCACAGCTAGTAATAAGAAATTTTCTTGTTTTTACAAAAAACAATTTTTAAAATTAAGGTGGAAAGTGCGTAAAGGATGAAATTAAGTATTAAATATGGTGCGAGCAAATTTTCAAAGCGTCGGTAGCAATGAAAGGGTTAAAAAGACACTTTACACCTAATTTACAGGATCACATACATAGGAATCACGGAAACAGCATTTTTTCTTTGATATAAACATTGAGAGAAATAGTCATCGAGAATCAGGTTCACAAGGTGTTACCGATAGTCTGATACAATTGATTTTCAACCGGTGTGTGTGTCGTGAGATGAAAAAGATTAAAAATCGCTGGTCTAGTATGTAAACGCGACTGTATAAAATATAGAGGAATCTGTTTGGGTGGGAAAAATGATGGTGGAACGTAAAAAGTTGGCATTTATCGATGGCGTATAAAATTG